AAAGAGAGAGAGAGAGGGGGAATCCGGAGAAAGAGAGAAAGAAGAAAGAAGGGTGAGGAGACGAGAGGTACAGTTGGTGCGAGAAAAAGAGAGAGAGAGAGAGAGAGAGAGACCGGAGAGAGACAGCACAGTTTCTTCAATGCATTTGCAAATAATCCAATGGCATTTCTACCTGACATGTTAGCAAGTGAAGTCGAAATTTTTTTGCCGTCCGCCATTGCAGATGTTTAGCCCAGAGTCGGGCCGGAACATGGTCTGTGTCATTGACAACGGCAAGGGCATGACGTCGAGAGAGCTGAACGAGTGGGCCATCTACAGACTGTCGAAGTTCACCAGGAATAGCCGGCGGATGTGAGCATACGTACAAGAATTATAGCCAACATTTTACTTACTTACTTAATCCTCTTCACTCCTACCGGAGCATAGGGCCAACATTGCCAGCAGGAAAATTTGTGCCCGACTGAATTTTACGTGCAAATCACTGCTCCGAAGTTTTTGTTTTGTAATTGCGCAATATTTTTTTCATAATATTCATTTAATATACGTGTGTGTGTGCATGCGTGCCTGCGCGGGTGGGTGCGTGTGTGTGTCTATATAAATATAATTATTATTATTATATAAATATATATATGATATTACAATATTATATAATTCACGTGCGAATGCACACTATACTTGATGAGCAGTGGTAATAGAACTTCTAACAATGCTAGCTGATGTATCACGAGGTGCGGTGGCCATGTTGCAGGGACGGGCGGGCGGCCGGTGACGCCGCGGCAGACGACGAGCACGTGCCGCGCTTCCTCAATAGCGACATCTCCTATTTTGGCGTCGGTGGCAAGCAGGCGGTCTTCTTCATCGGCACGTCAACGCGCGTGAGTCGTCCGCGCCTCTCCCCGCGCTCGCGTGATCAAACATGGCTGCGTCGAACAGATGCGGTCTCGTGCGACCAAAGATGGCAGCGTCGAACGGATGCGGTCTCGTGCGACCAAAGATGGCTGCTTCGAACGGATGCGGTCTTGTGCGTGGGGCTAACCGGTTCCCACGCTGTGTTTGTCGACGCATTCTTCCATATCAAATTGCATTTTATTTCTTTTGTAAAAAGCCTCATTGCATAAGGCCTCTGTTTGCTGTTTTTCTTTGAGGTTTTTGTAGAAAAGCAAATGCAGAATTTGTGGACTGAATCGGCTTAACAGCGTGCTGTGTGGGATTATCACTTATTTCGTCATACCATCTTGCTCGTGGCTCCACTTTCGTTTGCTAATGCCTTTACGATCGTGACAGATGATTTCAAAGCCGGCTGACTCGGAGGACGTTCACGAGCTTCTAATATCGAAGGAAGACTTTGAAGCAAAGGAGAAAAACAAGGAGGCGATATATGAAGGCTTCATCAGAAACAGAAAGGTAAGATTCTCTCACTTGCCTAACAGACGGTGAAGGATCGGGTATTAGTGGATCAGTGTCATTGAAGTTACAAGCTAGAGAGGGAGGGACAGAGAGAGAGAAGGAGAGATAGAGAGAATATAAGAGAGAGAGAGAGAGAAAATAAGAATGAGAGAGAGAGAGAAAATAAGAGAGAGAGAGAGAGAGAAAATAAGATAGAGAGATAGAGAGAAAGAAGGAGGGAGACAGAAAATAAGAGATAGAGAGCAGGAGTGAGAGAGGGAAGGCGAGTGAGAGGCTGACAGAGAGAGAAAAAAATAAAACATGAATGTCATTCGGTGACCTCTCCCGACGCGCGCGACCTTGACTCCACCGACTATGACCCCACGCAGGGTCGGCGACGGCAGCCACCTCGCGCGGGCGACGACGCTGACTCCTGCGCGACCTTTGTTGCCGAGGAAACGCGCAAGCAGCAATTCACCGTCGTCGCGATTCTCCCGGCATCCCCGAGGAGCACGTGCACTTCACCTTAGCGCTACGGCTACGCTCCTCTGGTGCCACGCACGCTCGCGTGCGTAGCGCCCGTCGTCCGGGATTTTTTTGCTTTTTGTTTTTGTAAATTTGTATATTCCGCGAGGTCGGTGCGGATCCGTCCGAGAAGGGTGGCCCTTGCTTGAGGCAAACGACTACACTAAAGCATACGACAACGTATCAACTATGACGTGAATGATCGTTGACAGGAACGTGCTATATCATCATGGGTGCATTTTGGTATGTATATTACATGTGTATATGCACATATATGTTGTGTACGTGTTGTCATGTATATGTGTATACACTTACCAAAAAGAAAAATGTAGAGGATTGTTAGTGGGGTGGCAGGATGGTGCTGTTTGTAGCTGTGGGTGGTCTTCGCTGCCACTTATAGGATATCAGCTCGTTGTGCTGCCACATACACGTTTCCACACACACACTCACTAAATAAGTACACATAAAATAACTCGCTAAAAATGGGCGATAACTAGAACGATTGTTAAACGAAGTCGAAATTGCCATAAGTGGTTGCTGCTGGGTTTTGCTGCAGGAACTCTACCACTTACTACTACCACGGTCGGAAGGAAACAGCAGTTAAGACTGACAGCGGTGAGGAAGCTCCAGTCATTCAAGAACATCGACATTGACGGGAAGCTCACACTACTATATTGAATGACTAGTCATAATCATACAGAATTGACCTCATAACGCTTGCTGTGGATGCATGAGGGCTCTTCCGAGGAAGACAAGTCAGACAGGCCACTACCCTCGGTAGAGCGTTTTAATTCAGGCCTGCGATAATCAAAACTAGTGATGATAAAAAAAGCAAAAAAAAAAACATCTTCCCTAAGCTGACCAACGGTTTCGCTCATCGCCTCCCTCATGGCGGCACGGCGCTGGACGTTCTTGTGAGTTGCCGTGTGCGTTCGCCTGATAATACAGATGCGTAACCTCGACTGACATTGTTACGATACGTGAAGGACGTTGCACATGCGCTAAACATCCTTGTATGTGTCATCTGCCATTATATTACTGTATAGATGGCGATGCAGATGTAGTATCCCCTGACTCTGCCGCCGGTTTCAGGTGACGAAGCAGATTGATATACATCCTCTGCCATTGCCGTGGTTATAGGCAACGGCGCAGAAGCATAACCTCCTCACCTTTACCGTGGTTACGAGTGCAACGATGCATTTTAACAATTAACATCATGCTGCTATTGCTCGCAGTTACAGACGATGACGCAGATGCTAACTCTTCGTCGTGCCGTGTGTTACATGGGACGATGCAGATCGATTTCTCT